AACTAGCTTTGGAGACCAAACACCCGGAAATGAGGAAGAAGAGGAGGAAGGCAGGACCCTCGAATTGAGGGCTGGGACTCCCCACTGGTATGGGCGCCTGCGCACCCAGGGGGGAAGAGTTGCACAACTGAAGGCAGAGTTTGCCCCCCTGGCCTGCCTCCTGGGTCATAATGACCCTCTGTGCCAGGATGCACCGAGCATAAAGGGGACAGTGCGGAGAGAGCGGCGGGGAGGAGAAACTCCTAACTCTGAGACCTACGCTGTCTCTGCAGGAGCTGGTCAGCAATTCTCTCTCTCTGATCTGCCAGCTTGAGAGGATGTTCAGGTCCAGTATCCCACCGGCAGGTGTCACCTTGTGAGTAGTTATCCATACTTCGCTGCTTTTATGTGCTTTCACCTGAATAAATGCTCGATGTAGCCATCTCGTTCTGCGTGATTATTGCCGAATCCTGAGTCCATCCGGAACAGAAGGCTGCATGAAAGCCCATAGGATTCCTCTGGCCTTGTGTTTACGGGGAGGCCGCATGAAAGCCCGTGGGCCTCCCCAGCCAAGTGCACATGGAGGCCCTGGGAAGACACATGAAAAGCCATAGGGTCACCCCAGCCCAGTCCGCACGGAGGCCCCAGGAGGCTGCACGAAAGCCTGTAGCTCCCCAGAAACCATTGGCGACACACAATGACAGCCTTTTGCTACAGGAAACCACTAAAATATCCAACAGTGATACAAGCGAAAAATAAAGAAACAGCTTACAAATGAGAAATAATCTCCACTACTTCATGCAAAAGCACAGCCATTACTCAGCAAGCACGAGCTGTTTCTTTTTGAGTCTGACACTGAAGACACCAGTTAACACCACAAGGGCACTTCCGAGCACTCGTTCATCAGCGAGTTGAGGAGGCAAATTCATGACATAAAACACTTCAGCCTTTCAAAAAGCATTTTATTTTTGTAGTACTTAGAGATATGAATAGGGTTTGTACATGTTTTCCATAGAAAAAAAATATATGATACTCATATCAGTGTCTGGATTAACAAACAGTCCAATGATATTTTGCAATGACTGCACAGAAAAACTTAAGTGCATGAGGTCATGTAAGGAGAACGAACAGTAAGTGGTGCATTCAATGTTCTCTGCACATTTTTCTATGCAAATGAATATCCTAAAATAGCTTCAGTGAAAGCAGCATAGAAAGAGGCACATAAAGATGGCTGAAAGTGATGATAAAAATGCAGGTCTTCAAGTTGTGAACACAGAGGACCAGGCAAACAATTACTTCGGCAAACACTTCTTTTTTTCCTATTGGGGTCCTATTTCTGGTTCACCTAGATCACTCCTGAACATCTAAACTCGTAATAATAATAATACAAAGTGCCCTTGATTTTCAGATATTTCATTTGGTATAAGCACTACTGGGAATTAAGTGTTAGTACTAACAGTGTCTGACCAAATACATTTCAACCTTTTCTAAGCTCCGTTCACTGAAAAAGCTAATTTTATTCTTTAAGAGTTAAGAAGTTCCTTTCAGAAACAGAAAACTCTTGCAGACTTAGAAAGTCCATGACAGACTTTCTAAACCAGCACCTCAGATCTTGCAACAAACTCCTCAGTCTGATAGAAAACTATGCCATGAAGAGGCCTGTCACTACAGATCGCTGTGTACAGAGTAGCTCTTCCCTGGCTCACGGCCAATCGCCACTCTGGATTCTACAGTGACAGAGCTAAATTTCAGGCAGTGTCATCACCTGAGAGCAGCACCACACACTCCCCTTGTCCCTTCGGAGCTGCAGTGACCGGCAGGAGCAATTCCCTCGCTGCCATCCCGCAGGGACTCCACCACTGTGGGAACTGCATTGGCCTTCAGTATATCCAAGTAGAGGAGGTAGTCCTGGAGACAGGCTGGTAGTGGCAATCCACGGATAAAGCTCTCCGGTCGCAGACGCTCGCTCTTCAAAATGGACCAGATCTCAAGACGACAAAGATGAGACAAGGGAGGAACGATGGCTGAAAAATTTTAAAAGATGAATCAAACAGTGAACAGAAATACGGGAGCACGTGGCTTGTGCACAGTTCCCCGATTCAGACCGCGCCCGTGTTTGTACCAGATAACCAAGCAGAGTTCTTGGTTGCCAAGGTCCCTTGTCTGCTAGAGAATGACTATTCAGGAGCTTAAGTACAGAGTATAGTCCTTATGTGAAACAAAAAAAGCAAAACAAATAAACAAAATAAACCCTTAAACTTCTCAAAATTTTTCAGCAATGTTTTATCCTTGATCAGAAAGTTTCATCCAACCTGCCTAAAACAACCAGCTGCCTGGAGAGAGAGAAGCCCATGTCAGATTACAAGAAATGAAAAATAAGGAAGTCTAGTAAATCAAGCAACAACAACAAAATAAAAGGTAAAAAGGTAACATATTCTTCCAGAATAGTATTAAATAGCAACAAGACTCGTTTATTTTTGTTGAAGTCATTGCTATTTTAACTTGACTTCCTGTAATGGATTAAGACCTGCCAAGACCACTACACATTTTTGTACGGAACACTTAAAACAAAGTTATTTGCATTCTTTGACATGAAATGAGAAACTAGTGCTCAGGATCCTCTTCTCTTTTTCTCTTGTGATTATACACAGGAGTCATAGGTGCATACAAACTCTCAGCTTATTTCAAGGCAATACTGACAAGCTGAGTATTAGTGCTGTCACAGCACGAGTTCTAAGGTCTTCTATAACGTGTCTTTTAATAAATATTCTTAATGCTTACAGTGACCTCTGGAAGAACAGAGTGTAGCTGGAATAAGAGAGAGCACCTCCAATGCCCTTTCACTTTATACAGTCCTTTATAAACTAGCATATAATACCAAAGGTTTGCACTGTGTCTAAGACTTTACCAAATAATTTGACCAGGGACAACCCCTTCATTCAAAGATATATAAAAATGTGTCTGTAAAAGTACAGTCAAGCAAGCTTTCATATTATAGTATAGCTTATTCTGACACAAACCTCAAGATTTGGCCTCAAATACAACAACACTAACATCAATTGCATGATAGTAAGCCAGCAAAATTCCACTAGACAGAAGCCTCCAAAAGGACTTGCCCTCTTCCAACTGCTGCTCACAGCTCCTTTATACACAAGTTACATTTCTCACTACCTTCTGACAAGCCTCCTGTTCTGACCAGGACAACCTTGCAGCTTCAGCAACTTGGGGCTTCAAACCAGAACACAACTATTAGACCAAGCTTTTCTTCACTCACATCAGGAACATACCTAAAGGAACACAAACCTAAGACATCACATGGAGCTCTCGCTAAAAGCACCAGAAAAATGCAGACCCAAGACACAGACAAGCTTTGTAGCTATGCAGAAGTTGATCTCTATTTGACTGCAAGAAGAAATAAAGGCCAGGCTAGTTAAAAAGGGAATTCTTGTTTAAAACTGACCTCCAAAGGAGATTTTGGGTTTTTTTTTTAGATATTGTGAGAGACACCTAATCAAAAAGAACACAGACTGAACTAAGGCTGAGGAAACATTAAAAGCATTAAAGGAGGCAGAAGACCAGGCTCTCTGCCAGCAGCATCGAGCAGCAGAAAGACAATGGGGAGCAATTGCGTTGGCAAAGGTGCCTGGGCAAGAGCCTGGCTGCGAGAGCAGTTCAAAGGAGGAGGAAGGAGAGACAGGAAGAGCAGCAGAAGCAGCAGAGAGGACCCCTTCTGCTGAAGGCATCGAGAGGCAGGTTCTGCACAAAAAGGCTAATTTCACTGACCAAAGGCTCAGGTGCAGACATTACATCATGTCTGCCGGCCAACAGAAAACAAAAGGCAACTCCCAAGCAGAGCTTAGCATAACCTATTCATTATTAAGAAGTGGTAGTTCATTTGTTTGCTTGTCTCTTTATTAACTGACAATCACACACTGTATCTTTGCCATCCCTTCCCCTAACCAAGCAGCCCAGGGTTATGTGGCTCCCATATGCAATGGGATGACTTTTATTTCAAGAGCAGGAGGGCAGCAGAGCAACAAGAGCTTTTGTAAAGCCCAGGAGCTTCTTGTCAAACATGGAGCTGTCACCGGAGCAGAATTATTGGAAGGTACCCAGTGCCTGGAGAGGGGCCTCCCGAATCCCGCTCCACCTCGGAACGGACACAACCAACTCCCATCCCTGAGGATGCAGAGACGAATCCCCTACCTTGGTCCAGGCACCCAGCCCTGGGAAGCAACTTGCTCAAGAACAGCCTTTACTGCAACGTCCTTCTCTCCAGCACTCCTTCATATCTGAACATGCGTTTTTTAATTACTTGGCGTTGTATTGCCATCATGCATTAGCACTAACAGCAGCACAAAACACTGTTTTCCATGTACATCCTGGAAACTGGTGTATACAGAGGATTTTTTTCCCCGATTGAATCTTACCAAAATGACTACTGAGAATCCAAGTGGAACCCTCCTTGTAGTCTGAAAGGTTTCGTTCTACAGCTGGAGGAAGTCTCTTCCAGTTGGTGAACTCCAGGACAAAGTTAAGGGCATCCCCATTGACAGAATAAATCCTAAGTAACAATAAAATCCCACGAATTATTTAATTTTGCAGAATAGCATAAAAATTATATTGGGGGGAAAAAAGGAGCAGGAGTGCTTTTATTATTTCCGATAGAGCCTTAACCATCTACATCCGAAGCACAGCAACAAAAAACACTGAAGAGAAATCCAAAGTAATGCTGCCAGGACAGTCCTTTAATCTTGCAATTACTTCTTCCCCTTTACTTTTAACAAGTTAGACTGCAATGGCTGAACTGTTCTGAAATTTACAGGCCTCAGTAATAGGCAGAATTCTCCTTCCCATTAACAAATTGTCCCATTTCCAACTAGATTTTAAGGCCTTGTTATGAGGATATTAAAATATTTTCCATCACATTTGGAGAAAAATTCATACCACATTTTTTTTAAATTAAATCAATACAGAATTCACAAGTATTTCAAATGCTCCTGTCTCCAGAGATTGCTTCTCGGCCTATGTAGAAATCAGTATGATTTACATTTCAAATCTTTACAGTGTCTGAAGAACTTTCAGTAAGACCTCAGCTCGGTAAGAGGGGAGCGCAGCAAGTATAACTAAACTGCTGCAGTGTTATGTATGATGAAAAACCATGCCATTTAACGGAGTAACCTCCTAGTTAAATGCATACACATCTGAAATTTCACCTGAAACAAAAGCTCTCACCACAGAAAAATTGCATAGTAGGAGGTTTTAGTTAAGGTTATTTTATGTCCTTTCTGTGTTTTTAAAAAATACCATATTGTTTTTCAACATTAAGAGATGTCTCGTTTGACTGCATTTCTACATTCACTGAAAAACACAGGAAAGATTTCTGGTAGCCTACGTTTCTTTAACAGACTGGTGGCTTTGCTTTGCACACTCAAGGTTAAACAAAAATTGCGGCTAACCAGATGTTTGATATCAAAATGCATAAGGAAGCCTTTATCCAGAGCAGAGAGAAAACAATTCTCACACTGACTTCCTTCCTCAAACAGGGAAGGAAATCGGTTTTACTGAACCTAGACTTTATCCATAAATCTTTCCCTTCAGGCCTTCCATGACCTTCTCTGCTTCCAGTTCATGGCAACAAATTATCAGGGACTGCCCCTTGAATGCCCTTGTTAAAAAAAAAAAAAACCTAGCAAACTAGCAGATATTATTTAAAAAATACGTCTTACCACAACTTGCAGAGTAAATCCAATGGATTAAAGCCAGCCAAGAGGAGATGAGGCAGCCATTCCCTATACTGCTCGTGTGCTTTCACTGCATAGCTTATGAACTCTGGCAGCTGCTCCTCAGAAGGTAGCTCACACCCCAACGTCAAGAAGCGTCGGAACAAAGTAAACTTCCCATGCAACAGGCAATATCCCAAGTTAATCCCAAGGAGGGTGATCCCATATTTGAGGAGAATATCAATTAAATCAAAAAACCTATAAACAGGATACAAAGCATAGCATCTTGTTAGCATATCAGAGAAAACATCTGCCTTCTGAGTTTTACTAATTATCACTGTGTCCATAACACATCAGCTTAAAAGGCAAGGCTCTTTTAGGAGGCCCTAGTGAGCAACCCCAGTACTGCTCTTACATGGATGGAACAGCCTCGATCAGGTTTTAAAAAAATGCTATGCTATTGATTAATAACATGTAACAAGTACATATTGCAAACACCTATAATAAGATGATATGTGTGTGGATTTACATATATATGTGTATATTTGACTATTATATAATACTCTTTATATTATTTATGTATTCTTTAATATTTGGGGTTTGCAGCTTCTCTAGCAGGATGAAGACTCTGGGCAGCCTGTTCTAGTGTCATGGAACCATCTTCCAGGAAAGAGCTGGGTTCTGACGTGCAGGCGGAGTTTCCAGTGCTTCTATTTCCAGGATATGTATATGGGAAGGAACCTTTAATTACAGAAGTATGTCTAAAACATACTTCTATATACACCTATCTAAGCACAGCACAGGCATATGGAGAAAGTAAATCAGTATTTCCTAATAACTCTTCCTCACTAAAAAGCATCTAGCTAATTAAGAGTCTTGACTGATTCAACTACAGCATCAAGCCCGGTTCCCAGAAGACAGAGATGGGCTGATAAGGCTTTTTGAAAGCAGGAAAGCTAGACTGCAATTATGTTTGACAAGACTGCTCTTCAAAGAGATGGGCTTCCCAAAGGAGGTGTGAACAAGGTTGTGCAGCTCACGCACATAATCCAAACTCCGCACGTCACTCAGGTGCTTCAGGCTTAACTCTGTCATCTCCGGAGTGGAGGAAAGAGGGCAGGACAACTCTGCACATTCAGAAAGCAAAAACATGACAACACACTAGTGAATAATTTGAAAATAGGGAGGTATACATACTTTTTTTGGAAAACCATGCACATGGGCGATCTGCAGGCAAAGGTGAGGCACTTTTGAGCATCTGCACTGTAGCCTTGCTTAAGTAACATCTCCAGGCACTCCTCATTACCACCATAAATCGCTGAGTACACAGGGCTCACTTTGTCTTTTCCTTGATCACAGATCCGATCAGTAAGTGGTATGAGCAACTCCAGGATACTGCAAATATTTTAAATCACTGCTTATTTGGGAGGTCTTATCAAACAGTGACTTTTAATTTTCTGGTCAATTATCATAAACTCATTGCCACTTAAGAAGAAAAGCTTACTTATTTTTTCACTGTGGAGTCTGCTTAAAGGAAGAGCATTCCTCATTTCATCCATGTGACCACACAAAAATAACAGGCTTTGCCACTGATTTGCATCGTGGCTGGCTTAAAGAATGATATTACTGCACATACCCTTAAATTCTGAATCTGTTAGCAACAAACACATTCTGACCAAACCTTGATTGGCTATGTTATCCTACAGTCCATTTTACAGCAGTGTATGCCTGGGGGCTCGTTTGGATCTCTAGAGTTTGGAGGTAAACTGAACATGTGAGTTGCAGACAAAAATGAATATTCACTTCTGCTCAACAGCACTCATTGAGAGACTGAAGCAGAAAAATCACTCTCACACCTCATGCCTTTGACTTACATTCCTCTCAGCTAGCAGGGATTAGTGAATAAACATGGGTTCCTTTGCCAGGAAAATTTATTGATGATGCTCAGAGGCTGCAAAGGCAGTGAAGGCAGCATTTGATTCAGAAACATTTCTAGTACTGACAGCTTGGCCAACTCATCTCTCACTCTGAGATATTTTTCTTCATCTTTCTCAATCTATGACAGTCTGACCTCTTCATTACCCGAGTAGAGGTCTCAGTTTGAGGCACTTCGACAGCAATCAGCTGAGGAGCTACTTCTGCTAACAATCAAGGCAAAAGCAACTACACTAAAAACTTCTTCACAGGTGGTTCCCTTGCTTTAAGTGCTGTCACACGTGTGCAAATCCCAGGGGTCCTGAGGGAAGCTCCAAGGGACCTGCCACTCTAGGAATTCCTTTCCACCTGTAATCTTTCTGCTGCAAAGCCCCTTATTTCATTGGGATTGGGCAAAGCTATAAACACATTTTACAAGGATTACCAGAGCAGTTTTGTGGCTTTGATTTTCTGGCTGGTTCAGCTAATTCATTACTTGCCTATGATTCTTTCTGTTCCTTCAAGGACAGGACTATAATACTAATTAAGGGCTGTTCAAGTGATGTATAAAGCATATGCTATTGTTTTGTTTTGAATGAGAAAGCAATATGCCTACTATGTGATTTCTATCTGATTCAACAGTTACTCCCTTTTTGGAAGCCCCTCTAAATTGCTTTGGAAATGGATCAGACCCAGGTTAGATGCTGAATTTTCAGCAATCGTTGACTTCACTGGAAATACAAACAAACCTTTAAAACCCGAAGCGTTTTAACCCTAAACCACAAATCAGTCTGACAACTTGTTTTTCCTCCTTTTCAAGCTGAATGTTCACTTTGCTGGTTAGGTTTTAGTAATCAGACTCATTCATGTGAAGATATCGTCCAATCACCTACTTCTTATGGCCCATTTCAGCTGCTGCGTGAATAGGTAACTGCCATTCCTCCTCATTACAGTAGAGGTTTGGGTCGGCCCCTTCAGAGAGCAACAGCTCCACGCACTTGGTGTGACCCTCCTGCGCCGCGATCAGCAGGGGAGTGGCTTTGTCCTTGGCCTGACAGTTGATGTTTGCACCTGCCAAAGAGGCCCATACTTTATGTGACAGATTCACAAAGTAAGCACAAAGCAAATGACAAATCAGTGTTAATTAGTAATTGCTTTTCACGGATCGACTTTGCCATGAAACCGTTTTCCACTGCAATATTAAAAAAAATAAAAAATAAAAAATTTTACTAGCTTGTTGCTAGCTTTGTAAACTGTAAATGCAAATACACATATATATGTGTGCGTGTGTGTATATATATATATATATGTGTGCGTGTGTGTGTGTGTGTGTGTGTGTGTATATAAAGCATAGTGTTCTGATGATCATCTGAAGTCCTGTAAGTACAGCTTCGGGTTCTTGGGAAAAAAATAACTTATTTTCAAAAAACAGTAGAGTTTGGTGTGCGCACATTCCTTAGCACAAGGATCAGATGAGGAAACAGTGCTTTACATTATTTGTTCTATTTTTTGTGTGTGTGTGGAAACATTGAAAAATCAAACATTGAAAAATGCAGTGGTGTGAAGTAATGGATCCTTAGATATTGATTATCTACGCTACACTAATAAAACTTAAGTAACATGCTACACAGGAAAATACATTTCTCCATATAAAGGACACTGCCATTATTCAATACGTCAATAATTTTGCTTTACTGACAAATTGTTAGGCTCATAACCCTGCAAATTATTAGCAGTGCATTGTATCCTAATAATAAAAAAATATGTAAGAAGCAGAATTATAAATCACATTCATGGCTTACATGTATAGTCCAAAAAATGAGCTTTATGTCTGATTTTCTTCTCTTAAGAGGAGAGAATATTGTCATGAGCCTGGGGGGCACCATTCCAGCTCCCTCCAAGATCAGCATAACAAAATAAGGCCACTTATGTAGTGCTATTGAGAGTTATTAGTAAGACCATGAAATCTGGTCCTTAACCTTCTCATGGGTTTGAATTCCTATTTCTTAGTATCACTTACAGATAAGTAGTTCAAATTCCTGAAATAACATGATTTCAGTAAATAAGATAGAATTATGAAATTATGAAGTGCAGGAATAGAAGCAAAACTGTATCTGCTGGCAACCCAGTGCAAGCCCAGGAACAGTGAGGCTGAATGAATGATGACAATTACCATAGGACACAAGCATTCTTAAACTCTCCAGCCTCCCATACTGAGCAGCAACAAACAAAGGGGTAATTCCAAAGTCATCCTCACATTCCTTGTTTGCGCCTTTCTCCAGGAGAATTTTTATTATCTCAGTATGTCTCTGAAACACATAATTTTACTCTTAAACAAAAAGAACAGGAAACTGACCAAACCCATTTTCCCACAGATTCAAAACACAAACAGAAAAGATGCAATATAGTCCATTATCTAAATAAAAACTGAAAAGCTAGACAAATTTAATTTCATTTTTCCCATTAAACAGAAATGAAATTAGTACATTAGAACCATTAAGCAAACATATTTCTGTTCTAGAAATAGCTTGGATATTTCCTTATGATGAGATACGAAAGAAAAGTCTTCTCCCCATCCCTGCCCCCCCCCCAAAAATATTTTAACAAATTCACTCCCCAAATATAATATATAACCTGATAACCACATTCAACAATTTATAATACTTAAATAGAAATTGCTACCCGATACCTTGTGTAGTTTCAGATGCACCGAAGAGTTTACATTTAGACTGCCTTATGGATTATGTGGTTTAGGAAAAATCCCTTCAAAAAAGGGTAAATTACAAAGCATCATTCAGAATACACCAATTACACGGAAATGATATGATGCACTTTCAGGTTACCTGAAAAGAAGCTTCATGCAAAGAATTCCATCCAGACCAAGAGTGATGTCCATTAACATTTGCTCCATGTTGAAGCAGAAGCTTTACAATGTCTGTATGTCCATTTTCAACAGCTTCAAACAGAATAGTTAAAAAAAGAAATATTTTTTTTTACAGATATAAAATTAAAGGAGCCAGTACACAACTCAGATGATCTTGTCACCAAGTTCCCACTGCTATAACCATCGCTACTTTACATTTATTTTCCCCCTCAAAACCCGATTTCTTCTAAATGATTGTGCAGCACTGCTTACTATGATATTCATTGTCTGGTCTAAGTAACAAACACACACAACCTCTCTTCCAGCATTTTTGATATAAAGCAAATGATTTCTAACAGAGCCTTCTGTGCTTATTCCTAAGGAAATGCTATTTCTCTGCTTAGCTAGACTTTTATCAGACCAGCTTTAACACCAGCTTTTCTGAAACCATAACAACCTCCTCAGATACCTGTTTTCAGTGGGCTGAGAGGTTTAGGCTGGGGATGTTATCTTCTGAATATGCTCATGTATGACAACCCACACAAGCCACCTTGCTCAGCCCTGCCGGGCTGCATACACATTGCATGCCAATGTAAAATGTAGGTAACAGGGGTTTTGCCTTCTGACTTGCCACACAATTGATCCTATTATCAGAACTAATTCCCTATTTAACCTCATGGCAAAGAGGATGCGTACAATGTAGCTACAGCTACATACCAATATAAATTAAGACGGGAAAGAAATGATAACAGTTAAATCCCCCCAAAAGGCCACTGAAAGAAGTGGAGACTGGGCTCTCTCTAGTGCTACTATTCATTGCAACAGGCACAGTGATTCTGGCCACTGAAAGAGCTTAAATGTCTCCGTGTTTTACATATTTAAGATATATTTGTTGCTGAATAAAGCTTAATAATATTTGTGCAGCAAGTCAGAAGGCTTGGAAGCCGAAAGCAACGCGATTTGTAAGAACTCCACGTTGCAGCTCAGAGACTCACCCTGCTAAACACAATTTCACAATATGCACCTTTGCATCAAGATGTACCGAGCACAAACCCATGCTGCTGCAGTCAGCCCCTCAAACCTCAGTCCTTCAGATAAGAGAGAGCCTTCTGCTTATGCTTAATACACCTTTCCAAATGCCAGGTGAGCACAGAACAGTTAAATGCTAATGCAGACAACAGCTGCAATAAGATATCGAAGAGGTCATAGCAACAATTTCTAGTCAATTCCCCTTTCCTAAACGATGTTCTGCATGATAACCAACTCCAACCTTATTCTCAGCATTTTTATTCTTGCAGAAATGCACCTTTTAGCATTTATAGCTGATCTGCAAGATGCATCGCTAACCAGCAGACCACTCGGACCACTCGCTATGCGAAACAAGGCACACACAGAAAGATCACTTAGTGATCTTCTGCAGACCATTTCTCTGAGGCAGAAGGCATTTGTCTGGAGATAAATAATGTGGCCATTGTTCTTCAATGACTTTTACGATCAATGATACACCGTATTTCACAGTGATTATCAGTAGGAACATTCTGGTTAAGTTAATACACTTCTAAAAAAGAAACCAAACTGAAAATATACTATTCCTCTTACCATCTAACATTTATAATTAGTGCTTATATTAGCGCAACATTGATTTAAGGCAGACCACAAAGCAGGCAAGGAATGAAAATATACCCGTTATATATATTTATGCTAGAGAACTGAGTTAGATATCTAAGGCTCAAAGCAAACAATACAAGCAAAGGTTGCTCTGTAAATGCCTTCCCTGAAAACTCTCAGCAGAGTATTCTACAGCCTACAAAATGTTCACGTGCATTATTGGCAAAATTTCAGTCAAGGAAGCCCTAACTCCAGTTTTGCACGAACAGGACAGAGAAAATCCTGTCACATGCTGCAGTGGAATGCGCCATGACACGGAGCAAGAGGCTCCTCCAAGGTTTCCAGAAGTTCCCAAGGAAACTGCTTCCAGCTACAGCTAATGCCACATGCACATCTCGACCCTGCCAAAGGGAAGGATGCTCATGAGGAGCTGGGCTTCCTCGCATGGCTGTCCTGTCCTGTTGCTTAGCTCGGGCTGACGCCTGCTGGCCCACAGGCAACAAGACCTCAGGCAACAGGCAGCTCTAGATCTGCCCTCTCTGCTCCTCTCTGTGCATCTAGGTGCTACCTTCAGGCGTCTGCATAAGGAATTGGCATTTCTGTGGCTGCAAGACGGGCACTCCAAGCTTTATACAACCTGCCCTCAACATCTTCTCTGCATTCAGCCTTGACATGGGCACATCTGGCCCATGATCTACCTCCCCCAGATATTTCCAGCTTTAGCACATGCTTCCAGCCATACAAAATGATTAATGAAAACTAACCTTTTCAAGCACAGCAGCTTTCCAACCACCCACTATCCCTCCATCCACATCCCCTCACACCTAGGCAGGCTCCCCCATATTGTGCAAAGCGCCACTACCTGGTGCTCCTGCCATGGCAATGTCCCCTCAGGAGCTACCTGGAACAAGCAGTTTTAAGCAAGTAAGCTACTTAGCTGTTGGAAAGCAAAAAGTGAATGGGCTCCTAAATAAATCTAAACACAGTGCACAACTTGATCTTTTCCTTAGCTCAGTATAAAAATAAGAACTTGCCAATGAATGCTATGTTTATTGAGGATTAGCAAGGTAAAAACCACTCATGGGTTTGATTTACTTGCATTAAAAAGGCCCTCCAACAGGGGATTATTTGCTTAAACAGCATGCTAATGATAAGACATATGAAGCATACACAAACTAGAGACTAAAATCTTCCGTCTGCAGGCATTTTTGAAGTGCTTGACAATAACCAAACAACAGACCATAGGACTTAAGAACAATTTTTCTAAAAATCATCCATAAAATAAGTTTCATTTTAGAAGGTAAGAGATATTAGAAATAGGCTGCAGCTTCTGTTTGATTAATTTTTGCATTTCATCACAGACGACTAGTAGAGCACTAATTCTAATAAATAAGCATATGCAGAAATGCAACTCTACATATTAGTTTACACATAATAAAACCAAAAGATCTTCTGCCTATCAATTTCATAAGCTTTTACAAAATACCTTGACAACCTTTTGCTACAGGAGATCACTAAAATACCCGGCAAGTTTGTAACCGAAAAATAATCTTCAATACATCATGCAGAAGTCAATTAGAAGAGTCATTTAACACACAAAAATTATTTCTTATAGATGTACCTGAAGACAGTCAAGCAAACTTTAAAGCACTGACTTAATCCATGAGCACCTGCTCACAGAACATATGAAGAGAAAGAATTGGCCCACTCAGTATGTAAATAACTCGCTTCTTTTATAAAGACACAAAAGATTCTAGACCTTTTCTGTGCTTGAAAGAAACAAAGATATAAAAGCCTACTCTGTTTTACAACTTGATTTTGAAATGCAGTGCTGAGGCAGCAGGGAAATAGCAGACTATTTAAACCACTCCATCTCTGATTCTACAACCTTAGTATTTATACGAAAGGCTTCAAAAGATATGAAGCACGATAAGCCGTGAATAAACTTGGGGCTATAGCATGGCTCTTGCCTACATGTCAGTATTCTCAGGTCTCAAGCAAGCATGCATCACCTAGAAACAGCGGGGTGGTGGCTTCAGTAGTGACCTTATTAGGATCAGCTCCAGCTCCCAGAAGAGTGCTGACGCTTTCTGCACACCCGTGGCTGGCGGAGAGATGCAGCGCACACATCCCTTCAAACGTCTCTGCTTGTAGGTACTTCTCAGATGGAGCTAAAAGCAAGGACCGTGGAAGGGGTATGTTTAGCAATAGATTAACACAGTTGTTTTCTTAAAATGAGTAATTGGAGATATATGGCCTACAGAGTACACTTGAACATGGTTTCAGACTATTGCAAGTATCAGTCATTGCTGGCTGTACATCCTTGGACAGAGATTGTTAAGGCAGAACCAGTTGTCATTCTGTTTCTTAACTAATCTCAGACACAGATAGCAAATACTTTAGAGCAGAAGGAAAAAAAAAACCCACAGGACAGATTGTCCCACAATAAAGTGCAGATAGCAAATACTTTAGAGCAGAAGGGAAAAAAAACCCACAGGACAGACTGTCCCACAATAAAGAAGTACATTTGTTGCAATAAGTACAATTTTCCTCTTTGCCTTTTTAATGTAATGAGTGAAATCAGTATAGACAACCACTCTCTCTTGCATTCAGGAGGTGGTTCTAGGAGGTGGAGCTCAACATTTTTTTTGGATGGCTGAAGATAAATCCCATTTTGAAGCTTCAGTGAAAGCTGAATGAAAGTGTGAAATTCACCCCAGTGAGACAATTCTTAACCATTAGAAACAGGATTGTATCTCAATAAGTTGCTTAAGCTCCCTGATTTCTCATGAAGTAAGTGCTTTCTAGAGCAAATGTAAGATTCTAGTTTCATAGCACATTTAAATATATTATGTGGCACTCGGGTGGGTTTTTAGTATATATGACCAGATTTTGATCTCCAAGAGAGGAATCTATAAACATACTAGGAAACTCTTCAAGAAACATCCATTGTGTAAGCAATATGAGGGAGCCTGACCTCATCAACAGTGTGCAATCTAACTTATCTTTGACATGACGAAGTGAGAGAGGGAAAAAAAAAATAAAACAGCATTTGTGTACGAGTTGGGTATGAGAACAAACAATTTGCATACAAAACAGAAGATTAAGGCTAGTGATCTTGCTTCTGTAAAACACAGAGAGCTACAGCTAACACAATAATCAGACCTTTCAAGGACCTAGGATGGGAAGAAGATATGAAGAGAATTTTTAGCAGAAGGAAGATGTGTTGCTATTTGATAGGTATGTCTAAAGGTTTAGGGAAGGAGAAGAAGATAGAGACAAAATGATTCCTACTATTTTTCATTATTATTAATCAACTTCTCATGATAGCATTTACTATGTTATCATGAGTATTACCATGCTATTGTTTTGAATATTATCATATTACCATCACAGGTCTTATCATTTTGCCCAAAGAAATTTCTTTTACTTAGTGGCTCTACACTGCTAGAGATTTACCAGATTATCCATCAGCATATTCTCTTTATAAGATGTGCAGCACTTCGCAGGAGCTTAACCAGCATCGTAGGTTGCCACCTAGAACCTAACCTCTAGTGAGCAGATCACATTAAATCAGACCAGAGGGTTGGCACAATGGAATGTTGACCAGGCTGTGCAGGAGCGAGAGATGATTGCTCTGAATGTTCTAGTAAGTGTGCTACAAACTCTAAGTCCATATTATCCAGGCATCTGAAATAACAAAAGCTTCCAGAAGAGAGCCTGTGGTCACCTCCACCTGTCACTGTTACTGTCCGAATATTGGACACGCTCAGCTCTCAAGAGCTCTCTCTACAAGAGCTCTACAACTACAAAAGAAAAAAATCTTTAAATGTAGGCCGCTGCCTACATCAGCTTTTTAAATACGACATAATATAGTTACTCCTCTGTATCATGAATAGACCTTCGGGAAGTGAGTATAGTTAGCACTGACTGCACATGTTTTCAACCAGGCAATAAAATATAATATCAAATAAACCTCTGTACAGAGTAAGAAAGTGCCTTTTTTTTTTTAGAAAAAAAAAAAAAGATATCTAGTCAAATATTAGAAAGGTACCTTTAAATTTACTAGCCAAATAAGAATATGATGCAAGAAAGGCATTTGATTTATATTGGTTTATATCACAGAAGAATTTCAACAGAAATTCATACAATTTCATAACAAATTTTCCTTACCAGCCTGAATTAGTAGCCTCAGACATTCTCCTGAATTGCGGACTGCTGCTTCATGGATTGGCATCCATCCCCTGTTATCCGGGACATCAATGCTGTATCCCTCTTTAATTAGTTTCCTGAGCATTTTCACATTTCCTTCTCTAGCTGCAAGTCCCACAGCAGAACATCTATCAGAATAGGCCTCTGAGAAATCCATTCTTCACAAAGGAAACTCTGAGGCAAGGATGGGAAAATAAGAGAAATGAGGAGAGGAGAAAAAATAAGTATCTGTTAGTGTGAAATATACATTTACAGATTACAAAAGCCCAGAATAGCTTTAAATACATGGACAGAATCACCGGGTCTGTCCAGTTTGCCTCATTTCACAGGCATGTCCTATTGCTGAATGAACTATAAAATGGAGCCTTGCAGCAGCACCACTCACAAAGAAATATTTTGCCACGTCATTTCAGTAACATTTTAAGTCTCACACAAAACTGCTTTGGTTAGTAACCCGTGCATCTTGGTTTCATTACATCATGATGGTAACTATATTGCATGTACAGTCCTAGAGCAGGTAAAGCATTTCAGAAGTATCTTTTACTACTTTTAAAAGACTCAGGCATGGTCTAAGTACATGGCACTGGCCTCAAAGCCATATAGTCTAGGGACCCAAATCTGTTTCTAATGAAATTCTGAAATTCTGGGTAACCCCATGAGTTGGAAGAATACTTTTTTTTTTTTTTTTTTTGGAAAATGAGACACATCTAAATGGCTTTGACCAACGTTCCAAGTCTTGCCAGGCCAAGAAAACAAGTGCTACAGCTTCTTCTGTGAAATTTGCTCACCTAGACTTTTCTTTTTTCCTCCCCACACAAAAGGAAAACTCAAGCTCCACTAGTAGCTAAGACTTCCTCCCTAAGGTGTCAAGAGATATTCCTGAGCTGCAGACCCCATGAAGTTTGGAAACCTGAGAAGAGTTTAGAGTATCAAGCTTGGGAACCCAGCCCTGAGGAGGTAAGGCAAGGTGAATTGGCCTACCAAGGTGTCAGAGACACGTTTTCAGTTTTGCTTTGCTTTTTAAGGGGAGGAAAATCTCTTAACAAAACAAAACAACAACAACAACAAACCCACTGCTTTTCTCTCTTTTTACCCAATCCAAGGTTTCCTGAGACGCATTATGTGTGAGAGCATTAGGCAACTTACAATATGTAACTCCTAAAACACATGAGTAAAATGAGCGACCTTAGAAAACCAACTGCTTCCTAAAAGCAATCCCACTGAAGTGCCATGATGCCCGTTTGCAGCGACCCGGGCGCGTTCCTGAAGGGCACCCTCAGGCAGAGAGCCCGGGTGCACACGACTCCGGCAGAACCTGCGGGCGCCTGCGGAGGCAGGAGCAGCTGGGGACAGCCAGGAGGCTCCGGAGAG